TCGCTAGCAACGTAGTACATGGGGCGGCATCTAGATGTCATCTACCTCGCCCTATTCACTACAGCTATCGCCCTATGCACTACTTCACTACAGATGTCGCCCTATGCTTTTTTATAGGAGCTTTTCAAAGCTTTGCTTTGGTGTCGGACACACAACATTGAAAGCTTCTGGATCCACAACATTGCAAGTTGATAAAAGCGTTGTAAAATGTTGCCTTGATCTACTATAGTAGGCCGCGCGTGTACTCTAGTGTTAAAAAAGTTTATGAAAATGTTTCTAAATTCGTACAAAAAAAATTTCCCAAATACTTTGTATGAAAAAAATCCGTGAAAAATTGTAATTAATCAACTTAAAACCTAAAAAAAAATTCCTAGAAACTTTTATTAGATGAAACTTTGCAGAATTTTCATAATTTTTGCACAACTTTGAAACTTGGATTTATATGGTTAAAAATAAATGAACATTAAATAAACAAAATAAAAGTAACCAAAACATGCTGAAATGTCGAGCCCCTACTTATTTTTCCACCACTATACATGTGGATATTTGAATTTGATCAGTAACAGAGCCTTTTATTTTTATGTTACATCCTTACTATATTATAAATCCGAAAGTGAGTTTGTTTGTTTGCTTCGCTTTCACGGTTAAACTATTCAACCGATCATCATGAAATTTTGTACACTGCTGTATTTGGCGCAACTTAAAATATAGGATACATTTAATCTGGAGTAGACAAGGGGGCGTGGCACCTCCCATACAAACGGAATTTTTCATACTGCATTTCTCAGGAAATATTTTTGGTATATTACTGGAACTTGGTATGGAGATATATAAAATCATTATCTACTCTTGGATGAGGCTGCCACCTTTTAAAACATTAAATTCAACTTCAATTAAGGGAGTTATTTATTTGAAAATTATATTAAAAAAATGGATGTAAAGAGGCTTAAAAAAGTGTAGTTTAATATATTTTGAAAAGGGTTGCCACCTGTTTAAAAATCAAATTTAAATTAATTTTATGCAAGCTATCTGAGAATTAAAATATGGTTGTCAAACGAACTATTATTAACCCTTAATTAGGCGCAGGGGGTCAAGGCCATTTCAAGTTGAAAAAAATGCCTTGGACTGCTTGGAGCGTGCTCGCACTCTGCCTAGCTTCCTAACTCCCCACGGGGTACGTAAATAAATCGTGTACACATGTGTCGCTACTCGCTTGAGTGCTGACGGCACCCTGAAATTGTGCATATGCAAACTGGGCATACGAAATAATGAATATGAAAAAACCGAAATAATACATATATGCACAGTTTCGGTTGAAAACCGAAATAATGCATATGAAAAAAACCGAAATAATGCATATAAGTATGCACAGTTTCGGTTGAAAT